GAACTGGTCAAGCTGAACCCCACACAGCAACACACCAGGACAGGGGCTGAACTGGTCAAGCTGAACCCCACACAGCAGCACACCAGGACGGGGGCTGAACTAGTCAAGCTGAACCCCACACAGCAACACACCAGGACAGGGGCTGAACTAGTCAAGCTGAACCCCACACAGCAACACACCAGGACATGGGGCTGAACTAGTCAAGCTGAACCCCACACAGCAACACACCAGGACAGGGGCTGCTACTGGTCAAGCTGAACCCCACACAGCAACACACCAGGACAGGGGCTGAACCCCACACAGCAACACACCAGGACAGGGGCTGCTACTGGTCAAGCTGAACCCCACACAGCAACACACCAGGGCAGGGGCTGAACTAGTCAAGCTGAACCCCACACAGCAACACACCAGGACATGACACTGAACTAAATCAAGCTGAACCCCACACAGCAACACACCAGGACAGGGGCTGAACAAACAGTCAAGCTGAACCCCACACAGCAACACACCAGGATAGGTTCTGAACTAGTCAAGCACACCAAACCCCACACACAAACACACCAGGACAGGGGCTGGAACTAGTCAAGCTGAACAAAAACACAGCAGCACACAGGACAGGTTCTGAACTAGTCAAGACTGAAACCCACACAGCAACACACCAGGACAGGGGCAACAAACTAGTCAAGCTGAAAACCCCACACAGCAGCACACCAGGACAGGGGCTGAAACTAGTCAAGCTGAACCCCACACAGCAACACACCAGGACAGGGGCTTTGAACTAGTCAAGCTGAACCCCACACAGCAGCACACCAGGACAGGGGCTGAACTAATCAAGCTGAACCCCACACAGCAACACACCAGGACAGGGGGGGCTGAACTAGTCAAGCTGAACCCCACACAGCAACACACCAGGACAGGGGCTGAACTAGTCAAGCTGCACCCCAACACACCACACAAAACCCACACAGCAACACACCAGGACAGGGGCTTGAACTAGTCAAGCTGAACCCCATACATAAGCAGCACACCAGGGACGGGGGCTGAACTAGTCAAGCTTACAACCCCACACAGCAACACACCAGGACAGGGGCTGAACAATCAAGCTGACACCCCACACAGCAGCACACCAGGACAGGGGCTGAACTAGTCAAGCTAAACCCCACACAGCAGCACACCAGGACAGGGGCTGAACTAGTCAAGCTAAACCCCACACAGCAACACACCAGGACAGGGGCTGAACTAGTCAAGCTGAACCCCACACAGCAACACACCACACAGACACACAAACACTAGTCAAGCTGAACCCCACACAGCAACACACACCACACTGAACTATTACAACTGAACCCACACAGCAACACACCAGGGCACACAAACAAACTAGTCAAGCTGAACCCCACACAGCAACACACCAGGACAGGGGCTGAACACAGTCACACACTGAACCACCACACCAGCAACACACCAGACAGGGGCTGAAACTAGTCAAGCTGAACCCCACACAGCAACACACCAGGACAGGGGCTGAACAGTCAAGCTGAACCCCACACAGCAGCAACACCAGGACAAACTGAAAACTAGTCAAAACAAAACCCCACACAGCAACACACTAGGAACAGGGGCTGAACACAGTCAAGCTGAACCCCACACAGCAGCACACCAGGACACGGGGGCTGAAACTAGTCAAGCTGAACCCCACACAGCAAACACACCAACAGCAGGGCTGAACTACAAACAAGCTGAACCCCACACACAACACAACCAGGACAACAACTGAACTAGTCAAGCTGACACCCCACACAGCAACACACCAGGACAGGGGGCTGAACCACCAACTTAACCCCACACAGCAACACACCAGGAACACACTGAACTAGTCAAGCAGACACCCACACACAGCAACACACCAGGACAGACCAACTGCACACACACAGTCAACCTGAACCCCACACACACCAACACACCACAGACAGGGGCACACAACCCACAACACACAACACAAACCAGGACAGGGGCTGAACAGTCAACAAGCTGACCCCACACAGCAACACAAACAGGACAAAAACACTGAACTAGTCAAGCTGAAACCCACACACAAACACACCCAGGACAGGGGCTGAACTAGTCAACAAAAACCCCACACAGCAACACACCACACACAGGGGCACAACTGGTCAAGCTGAACCCCACACAGCAACACAAACAGGACAGGGGCTGAACTGGTCAAGCTGAACCCCACACAGCAGCACACACCAGGACGGGGGCTGAAACTAGTCAAGCTGAACCCCACACAGCAACACACCAGGACAGGGGCTGAACTAGTCAAGCTGAACCCCACACAGCAACACACCAGGACAGGGGCTGAACTAGTCAAGCTGAACCCCACACAGCAACACACCAGGACAGGGGCACACTACTGGTCAAGCTGAACCCCCACACAGCAACACACCAGGACAGGGGCTGAAAAACCACACACAGCAACACACCAGGACAGGGGCTGCTACTGGTCAAGCTGAACCCCACACAGCAACACACCAGGGCAGGGGCTGAACTAGTCAAGCTGAACCCCACACAGCAACACACCAGGACATGGGGCTGAACTAATCAAGCTGAACCCCACACAGCAACACACCAGGACAGGGGCTGAACTAGTCAAGCTGAACCCCACACAGCAACACACCAGGATAGGTTCTGAACTAGTCAAGCTGAACCCCACACAGCAACACACCAGGACAGGGGCTGAACTAGTCAAGCTGAACCCCACACAGCAGCACACCAGGACAGGTTCTGAACTAGTCAAGCTGAACCCCACACAGCAACACACCAGGACAGGGGCTGAACTAGTCAAGCTGAAACCCACAAACAGCAGCACACCAGGACAGGGGCTGAACTAGTCAAGCTGAACCCCACACACAACACACACCAGGACAGGGGGCTGAACTAGTCAAGCTGAACCCCACACAGCAGCACACCAGGACAGGGGCTGAACTAATCAAGCTGAACACCACACAGCAACACACCAGGACAGGGGCTGAACTAGTCAAGCTGAACCCCACACAGCAACACACCAGGACAGGGGGCTGAACTAATCAAGCTGAACCCCACACAGCAGCACACCAGGACAGGGGCTGAACTGGTCAAGCTGAACCCCACACAGCAACACACCAGGACAGGGGCTGAACTAGTCAAGCTAAACCCCACACAGCAACACACCAGGACAGGGGCTGAACTGGTCAAGCTGAACCCCACACAGCAACACACTAGGACAGGGGCTGAACTGGTCAAGCTGAACCCCACACAGCACACACCAGGACAGGGGCTGCTACTGGTCAAGACTTATGTCCATCTCTTTTGTGCCAGTGCCAGATTTACGTATGACCTCAATTAGCTACAACTCAAGGACAGACAATCTGCAAGGGTCAGAAAAATTCCTGATTTTTGTCCAGCGGCACAACTCCATGGTCCCCAAGGACTGATGGTTGCCTACAACCTACATACTCTATAAACAATATTTGCCCAGTAACCTATGCCCAATGTGTCATTAATATGAAAGAGTCCTTTACTTACTTACTATCTCTCTCTCCCTCTCTCTCTTTCTTTCTCTATCTCACTATCTCACTCTCTCTCTTTCTATTTCTCTCTCTCTCTCGTGTATGTGTCTGTATGAACATGAATGCATATATGTGTCAGTATGAGGGTGTGTGTATGAATGTGTGTGTATGTATGTACGTATGTATGTATGTATGTAAATTTATGGGTGTGTTTGTGTCTGTGTAAATATGGGCACACAAGAGTGTATTGTACGTGTATATTCAGAGTGTGTAGATGATGTGAGTTTGCATGATTTCCTTATGTATATTTTTTTATATAAACATAACATGCATTACCGATAGCATGCAATTATGACCTGACAAATAAGTGCTTGGAAGGGCCGAATGTAAGACAGGCCTTTGTGCCCAATTTGTAACCCTTTGAAAACAAAGTGTGTTAGTTCATTTGTAGTCACTCTCTCTCTCTCTCTCTCTTTCCCCCCCCCTCTCTCTCTCTCTCCCTCCCTCTCTCCCTCTCTCTCTCCCTCTATCTCTATCTCTCTCCTCTCTCTCTCTCTCCTCTCCCTCTCTCCCTCCCTCTCTCTCTCTCTCTCTATCTCTCCCCTCTCTCCTCTCCTCTCTCTCTCTCCCTCCTCTCTCTCTCTCCCTCCTCTCTCCTTCTCTCTCTCTCCTTCTCTCTCTCCCTCTCTCTCTTCTACCTCTCTCCTCTCTCTCTCCGCTCTTTCTCTCTCTCCCTCTCCTCCCCTCTCTCTCTCTCTCCCTCTCTCTCTCTATCTCATCTCTCTCTCCTTCTTTCTCTCCCCTCTTCTCCCTCTCTCTAGACCTCTCTCTATCTCCCTCTCTCTCTCCCTCTCTCTCTCTTCTCTCTCCCCCTCTCTCTCTCCTTCTCTCCTCCCTCTCCTCTCCTTTGCTCTCTCCTCTCTCTCTATCTCCCTCCTCCCCTCATCCTCTCTCTCTCCCCTCTCTCTCGAACTCTCTCTACCTCTCTCCCTCCCTCCCTATCTCTCTCTCTATCTCTCTTTTCTCTCTCTCCCTCTCTCTCTCTCCCCCTCTCTCTCCCTCCCTTCCTCTCTCTCGCTCTCTCACCTCTCTCTCTCTCTCCCTCTCTCTCTCCCTCTCTCCCTCCCTCTCTCTCTCTCCTCTCCCTCTCTCTCTCCTCTCCCTCTCTCCCTCTCTCTCTCTCCCTCTCTTCCTCTCTCTATCTCTCTCACCCTCTCTCTCTCTCTCTCTCCCTCCCCTCTCTCCTCTCTCTCTCCTCTCTCTCTCTTCTCTCTCCCTCTCTCTCTCTCCTCTCTCTCCTCTCTTCCTGCTCTCTTTCTCTCCCTCTCTCTTTCCTCTCTCTCCTCTCTCTCCCTATCTCCTGTCTCTCTTTCCCTCTCTCTCTCTCTCTCTCTTTCCTCTCTCTCTCTCTCTTTCTCCTCTCTCTCCTCTCCCTCTCTCTCCTCTCTCTCACTCTCTCTCTCCTCTCTCTCCCTCCCCTCTCTCTCTCTCTCTCTCTCTCTCTCTCTTATACACATACAAGCACAGAATATCAATACTCACCATGTTATCTGGGTCGTAGAAATTACTTATAAACAGCACGTTGGCCCACCAGTTTTGCTTGCAGACTTTAACGCTGTCTATCTCGTACGACCAGCGGGGTCCTTGCCCCAGGAAAGGCATGACATTTGTGGCCAGCAGAAGTAAAACAGCATAGCAAGGGAAAATTCTGACGATAGAGGAATAAAACTCAATGTGAATATTTGAATATTTATATTATAAAGGTCATAGAGACTGACTGCCAGGATCTTAAACTATTATTATGATAGAAGTATTTCATGGATATAAACATGTGGTGTTTTAAAATATTCAGACAGTTTACAGTTTTGTGCGAACTTATGTGACCGTAAGCACTGAGAAGGTAAGAAACATCCAGAACCTTAAAGAAGAGAGCCACTGCATCAATGGCAACTGCAACTCTATACATGATTCAGAAGATGTGGTAGGAGACTGAATACTGTCTAAACATTACCAGAGCTTTTAATAGTGCCTTTTAGTTTTAGTTGAGGTGTCAGCTTCACTGCAATCAGGTAACACCACACTTGCTCTGTTCTTGTGTCAGTGAAAATCAGATGAAATGTCCCTCACTGTCGCATTTGAAAAACTGGTGAACAAACAATTAGACCCCACACAATCCAGAAATATGCACATGCAGTAAATGCATATGGCAGTTGCCAGAGGTGCCAAGCCAATAGTTGCCACTTATAATGCAGTTTATCTGTGAACAACATGAACTCACTAAACAGTCTGTGAACAAACATGAACTCACCCAAACAGTCTGTGAACTCACCTAAACAGTTTGTGAACACACATGAACTCACCTAAACAGTTTGTGAACACACATAAACTCACCTAAACAGTTTGTGAAAAAACATGAACTCACCTAAACAGTTTATGAACACACATAAACTCACCTAAACAGTCTGTGAACAATCATAAACCCATATTCTTTGACACTAATCACTCCCCTCCAGCCTTTTTTGTTTTTCCCTCCTTTTGTTTTCAGTTTCAGGAAGTTGTAGGCCATCAAAGTCCCACTGGAACAAGCACAACAATTCATGGCTACAACACTGTGTAAACAGTTACTGATAGGAACTAATGACTATAACATTGTGTAAACAGTTACTGACAGGAACTAATGGCTATAACATTGTGTAAACTCTGGCAGAAAATTGGGGTTGTTTAACCACTTTTGGACTTTGGTTTTATTCCAGAAATTGTGTTTTGTGTGCATATCCATGTGATTGATCTGGCTTATTAGTATGCATACTGTTGGTTCCTCTAAGAAGTTCAGATTCAGAACTGGGCATAACAGACTACACCAACATACAATACAACTTCTGGGTTTAGGTAATACTGAGATACATCCCTGCAAATTGACTCCAGTAAATGCTGAGCAATGTAGACTGTATGCTGCTGACAGAGTGGCTATTCCCACCTCAATCCAGACAATGCTCTATGGTACTCAGTGAGGTTTGGACTGCAAGACAGCCTTCGTCAAGGCTACTGGCCTCCTTATGATAGTTTTCTGACAAAAGATCAATGAAGAAGAAGTAGAAGAAGTAGTAGAAGAAGAAGCCTTTTCCCAAGTTCCAGCTGGTCTAAAAATATTGAGCTAACCTCGTTAACCAGTAAACTTGACCTTGCATTACTTGTTAGTGTTTCAGAATGATGTTAAAATGGCTGTGAAGGTTCATGGATGACACACACCTCTGATTTGTATAGGCTTTCAGCAAGTTTACCCATGGCGTTTGTCTAGACAAAACTTTGCATTCAAGTTGAAAACTATTTCTTGATCCGTGATACAGCTCAAGTTATTTTTTTTTTAGCCTCAATGTAACTCTAAGCAGTAAGTGACAGGCAAAAGCCTTTCCTCATATCGGACAAAAAAATGAAAAAACATCAGCAAATGTACCTGAGAACAAAGAAAGAGTCCGCAGCCAGTGTAGTGTTGATCACCATCTGCATCCACAAGGACTGGGTCATCTTGACGGCTGACACGTTGTTTTCTGTACAATACAAATAAATATCTGTAACAACTGAAAATCTCCTTAAATCTTGCTACTGTGGTTTTCATGTCTAACAAGTTATTTTGATTTATTGCCCTTAGATAATAGGTTTGTTATTTATTCCTAGTTTTATAAATGTTAATCTTACTGTAAATAATTTAAAATCCTTCTGTGGGTTACTGGCCCCATTTTGGGGAGGAAAAAAATAGATCCGCTGCCTCCCTTTAATGGAAAACAAAAAGCATTTTTTTTAAAGTGACAAATTAGGGACTTTTCTTTTCTGCCTGAGAGGAAAGGAACCAAATAAGTAAGCCAGATTCCCTGTGTGGGTTCTAGGGCCTTATTATAGGGAAAACAAGAATGGATTCACTGCCTACCCAAAAGCCTGTTGTGAGAGTCGACTAATTGGGAGCTTCCTTTGAAGTCGGAGTAAATCTGCCTGAGAGGCGAGGAACCAGCAGTCTGCATACAGATGAATCAAATCTGTAAAATGGATGCACACGCAACACTCAGGTTCTGGAAGTGGATCAGAAGTGGATGAACCAGAACTTTCCACCAGAGTTAACAGCTGGTGAACGTGAAGAAGAAGAAGAAGTAAGCCAGATATGCAAAATGGATGTGCACACAGAATTCAAGTTGTGGAACAGGACAAAAGTGGATGAGCAACCAGAACTTTCCGCCAGAGTTTACAGCTAGTTAATGCTATGAAGAGGAAGATATCATAAAGGACATTTGTCATCATCATCACTTAGTGCCTTATCAGATGCATAAGGCTTCAGGTATCTCCACAGCTTTTAAAGATGCCTCATAAAGGAAGTTACCTTGCATTGTTTTATCAGCCGGTGGCCTCAGTACATCTGATATTTTCTTGTTTTCACATTTGGACCCCACAGCCTCTGCCTGTCCCCAGTCTACCTGCAAGGCAGCAAGGTTGTGTTCCTCTTTGTCTGGCTCTTATGTCTTGATCTATCTGACCTAAGAGACCCTACAAGCAGCTAAGGCAAGGTGAAACTATATCTGGTCTTCCATGCTTCCCAAAAGCATGCCGCAAGGGATATCAGGTGATAAGATAGTATGTCTATTGTGCTATAAAATTATGGCCAGTGATCCAACAAATCATATGAAATTCAGATACAATGTCAATTTAAGTACAAGGATAATTTCATTTAAACAGTGATAAAGAAAACACTGCGGCAAAGCTGCTGGATAAGTATGCTCCACACATGTACTTATAACAGGTTAATAATTGTTTTCAAATGTTTATAAACTCTCCTCTAATATAAAGTCAAAATATCTTTCTTCTAATGAAGTTTATGCTGTGTTCTCTTTTAGCTACATTTCAGTTACTATTAAAAAGTCTGACATTTACTTTCTATTTCATTAAAGTCTGTAGCCATACAGTACGCCAGCTACATTTGATTAGCTATAGATATTATTCCAGACTTTTAGCTAGACACGCCTGACCCTTACTGGTCCTCTGTCCGTCTCCCACTGACACCCCACCATTTCCCGTTATCTTCTTTCCTCTAAAAGCATTGGTAATTTGAAACATCCCTGCCATCTGTCAACCTGGACAGTCTTAGTTTGGTGGATTCTCTGGTCAGTTTGTCCCACTTCATCTAAGGGAAAGATTAATATGCTTCTCCTGTCTGTACTTTGAGCGTTGTTGTCTGACCAGTGTTCGAATCTATGTTTTTAGCGCTTTAACTTTCATGCTGCTTTCTAATAAATTTGGCATCTCTTCTATGTCTCAGTGCCCTCTGGTGTTGTAGAGCTGGCAGAATTTTCAAGTGTTAACTACTACCACTGCTGAGCTTGACTACCTCCCAGCAATCTGTTACCAGAACTAATCGCAAGAGGGATCCTGGCCTAGCCTTAGAGCCACGCCCCATATACTTCCCTCAATGCTCCCATCCTTCAGTGTCAGATACTGTGTTCTAATCTATGGTTGTTGTTCAGTGTTTTCCTGTGTTAATTACTCAGAACTAATCGTACTAGCTTCTCGGCTGTACCCACTGTAGGCTCCTGTCTTCTTCTACACCAAGCTTCCAATTTTCCTACACATACATCTTAGGATCACAGGAGGGTATTGTTACCACACCTAGATGGACACACATGACAGGATAGATCTTAAAAACTGAGAGAGTTGAAAAAATATAACAGAGATAGAGTAAGGCCTTATTCTTCTTCACATTCACCAGCTGTAAACTCCAGCAGGAAATTGTGGTTGTTTGTCCAACTTCTGGACTTTAGTCTTGTTCTAGAGCTTGAGTCTTTTCCACAGATGTGGCTTATTTTTATGCAGTCTGTTGGTACCTTACCTCTCAGGTAGATGCACTCTGACTTCAAAGGAGACCCCTAACTAGTCAACTCGTATAAAATGCTTGTTAGGGAAGCAGTGGGTCAATTTTTTCCCACCTACAATGGAGCCCCAGTACCCATGTAGGGAATAGAGTAAGATAACAATGGAGATAAAGTACAAAAAATATAAGCTAGATGTAAATGGTAAGAACCTTAGGAAGAAGGGGTTACAGCAATAACATGAAGAAGTGGATACGGACTACATCCATCTTTTTCAGAAAGAGTCAAAGCAATAACTAGGACATGCAGGTTTATGTAAAAATTTTATAATACAAGGATTATAGTTAACTAACCCATCTTCCTATTTGGGTTCCAGGGTCCTGTTGTGGGGAAAACAACAACACAGACCCACTGCCTCCCCAACAAGTATGTCGTAGAAGTCAACTAATTGGGAACTTCCTTCAAAGTCAGAGTAAATCTGCCCGAGCGGCAAGTAACAAGCAACTGCACACAAATAAGCCAGTAAAACGGATGTACAGGCAAAACTCAGACCCTAGCACAAAGCCAAAGTCCAAATGGATGATCAGCGAGGAGTTTCTGCTGGGGTTTACAGCTGGTGAACAAAGAAGAATAACTAACTCATCAACTTACCTACAACATCAGGGTTCTGGTACATAATTCCATACACATTGCCCAGAACGATCCAGCAAATACTCAACACCCTGACGCCGTTTAGACAGAACAATGTGTCTGCTGACCCATCTGCCAGGATGTGTCTGGTGTTTTTGCGGAAGGAGAACGACAGCAGTAAGTCTGTAAACAAATTTTCTGTAAAAGATAGAACCGATTTAGCATCAAAGATTCATCATTAACTCCAACCTAGTTCATAGAGCACTGAAAACATCAACACATCAAGACATGAAAAAATCAACACATCAAGACATGAAAACATCAGCACATCAAGACATGAAAACATCAGCACATCAAGACATGAAAACATCAGCACATCAAGACATGAAAACATCAGCACATCAAGACATGAAAACATCAGCACATCAAGACATGAAAACATCAGCACATCAAGACATGAAAACATCAGCACATCAAGACATGAAAACATCAACACATCAAGACATGAAAACATCAACACATCAAGACATGAAAACATCAACACATCAAGACAAAACATCAACACATCAAGACATGAAAACATCAACACATCAAGACATGAAAAAATCATCACATCAAGACACTGTTCCCACTTGGTACACAGTCAGCACTTCCTCTTTTTATTCATTTGAGTGATGTAACTGCGCTGAGCCTGTTTAGGAAATTTGCACTCTTTGGCCAACACATCTAACTTCACTGAGCATTTGTTGACTGGTATAACATCCCATGAGACATGATGTAGTCTTTTTGTATGGTGATCTCTTTGTTCCTTTATGTAAAGGTATTGCCCCTGGAGAATCTGCCCAGGACAACCACAGGTAGACTGGTCTGGCCCTCAAGGAAGGCAGTGGCAAATCATGGGTCCCCCTACATCAATAGTTGATAATACACTGTTTTTGTGACAGTTCACTGCAACTTTCTATCACTCAATAGTGTTATAACAATATATTGAGTGTTATACTGTGCTGCAGGTAGGCGGGGGAATCACAGGTATTTGACAGTGACTGTGACTAGCAAGACCCGCTCATGTTAAGTCTTCTACAATTGCAGCATGGGATTTCAGGACTATTGTTTCCATTACACATCTTTGATGTATATCTGCTCAGACGCTCCGCTCTTAACCTATCTTTAATCACTGTCTCCTTTATCGCTATTATCTTCCTGATTATCCCCCTCCCCCTTACTTCATGCAACACAATAATCTGTACATCCTGTTCTTAAGAATCCACCTTAATACAAGTATTATTCATGTCCCACTCGGACACATATTTGTATCATATAGTAATAGTTGATTCATCATCATCTTCTTCTGAGTTAGATCTTAAAGGGGTGTTCAGCACATTGTGGTGTGGTTAACAGCTAGGCTCTATGACATCTATACCTTTGGCCCAAAACATCAAATTTTAGCAAAACTAATTATTATTATTATTCTGAGCTCATCCATAAGCTCCATGGACATTCCCATAAGTGAGCTCATCCATAAGCTCTCCGGACATTCCCATAAGTGAGCTCATCAATAAGCTCTCTAGACATTCCCATAAGTGAGCTCATCAATAAGCTCTCAAGACATTCCCATAAGTGAGCTCATCAATAAGCTCTCTAGACATTCCCATAAGTGAGCTCATCAATAAGCTCTCTAGACATTCCTATAAGTGAGCTCATCAATAAGCTCTCTGGACATTCCCATAAGTGAGCTCATCCATAAGCTCTCTGGGCATTCCCATAAGTGAGCTCATCCATAAGCTCCATGGACATTCCCATAAGTGAGCTCATCCATAAGCTCTCTGGACATTCCCATAAGTAAGCTCATCCATAAGCTCTCTGGACATTCCCATAAGTGAGCTCATCCATAAGCTCCATGGACATTCCCATAAGTGAGCTCATCCATAAGCTCTCCGGACATTCCCATAAGTGAGCTCATCCATAAGCTCCATGGACATTCCCATAAGTGAGCTCATCCATAAGCTCTCTGGACATTCCCATAAGTGAGCTCATCCATAAGCTCCATGGACATTCCCATAAGTGAGCTCATCCATAAGCTCTCTGGACATTCCCATAAGTGAGCTCATCCATAAGCTCCATGGACATTCCCATAAGTGAGCTCATCCATAAGCTCTCCGGACATTCCCATAAGTGAGCTCATCCATAAGCTCCATGGACATTCCCATAAGTGAGCTCATCCATAAGCTCTCTGGACATTTCCATAAGTGAGCTCATCAGTAAGCTTCATGGACATTCCCATAAGTGCGAAGAGTTCCAATTCTGAGGGTGCCAGGAGCAGTTAGTTGATATGTCTGTCTTGCCTTTCCTCAGAGCGTAGAAGGTCGACGACCAGAGTTTATATGTCTGTCTTGCCTTTCCTCGGAGCGTAGAATGTCGATGACCAGAGTTTATATGTCTGTCTTGCCTTTCCTCGGAGCGTAGAATGTCGATGACCAGAGTTTATATGTCTGTCTTGCCTTTCCTCGGAGCGTAGAATGTCGACGACCAGAGTTGATATGTCTGTCTTGCCTTTCCTATAGGTGAGCGTAGAATGTCGATGACCAGACATTTGATATGTCTGTCTTGCCTTTCCTCTGAGCGTATAATGTCAATGACCAGAGTTTATATGTCTGTCTTGCCTTTCCTCGGAGCGTAGAATGTCGATGACCAGCATTTTTATGTCTGTCTTGCCTTTCCTCGGAGCGTAGAATGTCGACGACCAGAGTTGATATGTCTGTCTTGCCTTTCCTCGGAGCAATGAATGTCGATGACCAGAGTTGATATGTCTGTCTTGCCTTTCCTCTGAGCGTATAATGTCAATGACCAGAGTTTATATGTCTGTCTTGCCTTTCCTCAGAGCATAGAATGTCAATGACCAGAGTTTTTATGTCTGTCTTGCCTTTCCTCGGAGCGTAGAATGTCAATGACAAGATTTTATATGTCTGTCTTGCCTTTCCTCGGAGCGTAGAATGTTGACGACCAGAGTTTATATGTCTGTCTTGCCTTTCCTCAGAACGTAGAATGTCAATAACCAGAGTTTATATGTCTGTCTTGCCTTTCCTCGGAGCGTAGAATGTCAATGACCAGAGTTTATTATGTCTGTCTTGCCTTTCCTCGGAGCGTAGAATGTCGACGACCAGATCCCCTGGTCACTCCTAGCTGTACCATTCTCTCAAAACCATAACGATTTATATGTGCCTCTGCACTGTCCACTTGTTCCCAAAGGGCCTTGACCAAATCTAGCTTGTCATTCATAGAACCCGTCTGTCTGTCTGCGTGTATTTTTTTAACACCTGCATTCCCCAGAAAAATGATCACAAGTAAGGTAACAGTTACATGAGGACACCACATACCAGATAATGTCCAGTTACATGAGGACACCACATACCAGATAATGTCCAGTTACATGAGGACACCACATACCAGTTAATGTCCAGTTACATGAGGACACCACATACCAGATAATGTCCAGTTACATGACGACACCACATACCAGATAATGTCCAGTTACATGAGGACACCACATACCTGATAATGTCAGCTTTTTGTTCTTGTGAGAGGGCCTGACCTCGACAATGCTGGTCTGACGACTAATTTGATGTTTCATGCTGGAGGTGATGTTGCTGTTGTTGTCGTTTTGTGTTCCAGCAACATCCTCGGTGCCTGGTAAAATGTCAGCCTCTTCATCCAGCTGCATGTCTGCATCCTCTGCTCTGCTGATCTCCATTTCATTCAGACGGTCTTCTCTGCTCTCTGAGATTTTCTATTGAAATAAAATACAAGCCCATGGAGATACATCACCAGCTGGGGCACTGTGGCAAGGTTTTCACATACAAGAGGTGACGATAGTTTAATTAGAAAGGCAGGCCACAAGCCAAGAGGCCGACCAAGAAAGAATTGGGTGGAGGGAGTGAAAGAGACACTACAGAAACATGATATGCTATTAACACAAGCTACACAACTAGAAAAAGATAGAAGACTAAGGTTAACTCCTCTCTCCGATGCTTTATAGCTTTAAGTAAAGGATCAAAGAAGAGGTAATAGTTTAATGATTTGATGGTTGGCTGGCTGCATAGATAGATAGTTGATTGGCTAGCTGGTGGTTAGTCGGCTGGGTGGATCGGTTAGTTGGCTGAACAGATGACTGGATGAATGGATAGTTGGTTCCATGGATAGATGGTTTGATGGTTGAACAGAATGCTAGTTCAATGGATGGATAATTTATTGTATGAAAGTATAATTGCTTAGTTCACGGATGTATGGTTTAGTTGCATGGATGGATGGTTGGTTCATTCTATGGATGGAGGGATGGCTGCATGAATGGATTTTGTTTGCAGGGATGGATTTACAGATGAATGGATTGATGGACAGTTGTATGGATGGACTGATGGTTACACAGATTGATGCATAGAGGGTTGCATGGACTATTGGATGGCTTGATAACTGCATTGACGTATGATGGATGGATGGTTGCACAGATAGATAGATGGTTGAATGGACTAGGGAGTCTAAGAATTCTCCAGAAGACTAAGTCTGGACTAAGGCATTCAGGGCTTCAAAGCCCTCACATCTACTGGAGTAAGACTGCTGCCAAGATGTGTCTCCAAATCTGGTAATAAAGTACTATCCACAAGGGAACTGTACTGCAGAATTCTCCTGAACCCTCCCAGTAGCTAGACTACAGTTGGCACAGCTCTTGGAGGTCACTGGAATGCACAAGCCTCTACCGCTACAAAGTGCAGGCACATCAGTGGAAAAGCTGATAAGCAGTAGAGATCCTTTAATATTAAAGTAACGTGTAATTAACAATTTAAAAAAACTGTATCATCAAACATCAAACATCAAACATCAAACATACTTGCAGTTCAATGTCCTGGCCGGGACAGCTCAGCTGTCGAACATGCAACAAGTTCAGGCTGTTTCCGTTGGTGAATAAAGTTTCTGATGCACTCCGAGGTTTATGAAACTTATCTGATCCGTTCAATAATTCAAGCTTCTTCTTGGCATGCTCAATGTTCTCCGAGGATGACAAGGTGCCTCGTCGGCCGTGATGCTTTCTGAATAAATAAAAAAAGACAATGTGTTAAAGATTAACAAAACAAATCCTGTGATATAGCTAAATGAAATTATTTGTTAGAGATAACAGTGAGTCATGAACTCTTGCTCAGTCACTCAGGAGAATGTTCAGGCTTTTGAACTGAAATGTTACAGAAAGATTCTTCAAATACCATGGACCAAGAAGAAAATAACACTGACATCCAATGTGATCTCAACATCAAGGGGAACTGGCTCATAAACAGCATCCTGTCCTGAAAGCTGAAGTATGTTGAAGATCTAATCAAATCCAGAACTGCTGCAATCGCGGCGTCCGTGGCTAAGGCGTTGCAAGTCCGACTCGTAATCCAACGTACCGCGATCGAAACCCACTGCGGGCTGCGTGGATTTTTATCATGGTATGGGAGGTCGCAGGTCGACCCAGCCTCAAATGGGTACCAGGATGGGCTGTCCTGGGAAAGTAAAGACGGCTGGTGTAATGCTGACCACATTACCCACCGAGTGCCGATTGGTCTGTAAAAATATTGGTGCTCCTCCCATATGCCCGATGCGCCTAAGGGCGTGTAAAGGGATCTTTACTTTACTTACTTACTTACTGCTGCAATCCTCATTTTCCTTCAGAAAACTATGAAATCCGAAGGAAAATGGAGGTGGGGTAGGTCTGGATGTTATAAGAAAACAACCAGTTAAATGGTTTGGCCATATAACATGGAGGCCAACAAACAGTATACCAAAGCCAGCAATGATGTACAGACCAGGCTTTTGCCATAATTCAAACCAAAACTGGTGCACCTCACACAATTACTCTGGAAGAGCACTCTTCTAATCCACAACCAAAGATGTATGTACTCACTTTGCTGGGACAAGAATCTTGAGGATTCCAAACTGGTCAGTTTTGTCGCTGTAACCGATTGTCATTTCTGGTCCACGCTTGATTCTCAGTTTTCTGCGACGGCGGTAGATATCATAGGCTGTACCCATCACCACTAATGCCAGGATTACATTTAATGCAGTGCTGAAATGTAGATAAACAACATCTTCTTTACACAACTTACAATCACTTGAATACTTCTGTTTGATTTTTTTGTGTACGTATCTATGCATGCATGTTCCTATTTATATGTGTACACACTCATGTGGGCACACACCCAATCATGCATGCACACACCCAACCATTCATGCACCCATATACAAACAAATACTATTAGGATACTGCATGTTGAATGTTGAACTAAGAATCGGTATCATAGCATCTGGGACAATCCCCTCTGCACTCCGTCCCATTCTTCAGCAGCAAGCGAAGAGTATTAATTCTGATGGCACCAGTAACTGCTGAGTTGTACATCTGTCTAGTTTTTTCCCTGAGTGTCAAGCATCGGCCATATCCCCTTGGTAACTCCTCACAGCGCCATTCTCCTCAGACTGTAATGATCTATCTCTGCCTCCGCACTGTTCACTTGCTCCCAAAGGGCCCTCAGAACATCTAGCTTGTCATACATCAATTCACTACCAAGTGGTGCAAAGCTGGCCAGTCTGTCTGCCTGCTCATTTCACAACACACCGGCATGACCTGGAGAAAATATCCAAAGGAGGCTAGCTATACTGGACCTCTGAATTGATGCTTGCCACTTTGCACGAAGCATGCCTGTCTCCATCTTTCTCAACATGCTCTGTGAGTCAGTTACAATCACGGCATGAGTGTACAGGATTAAACAAATGTACATCAGAACCTTAATGTCATTCTGTGTTATAAACTGTAGACAGTTGTGTTTGTTCCCAAGTTGGTAGCTGTGCGACGAGGTCCCTTGAAGCAACAATGCTACCTAAAAAGTGTGGAAATCCTAGACTGGAAGCCAGAACAGAGTATAGCAATACTAAAAGCAACCAGTATTATTGCAAGTGAGGGCTATGGACCAAGAAGAGGACTAACACTGACAACCTACAAGATCTGAGCACTGAGGAGAACTGGCTCATAAACAGCAACCTGTCCTGAAAGTTGAGCTATTTTGGCATGTTAGACATCATGGCAGACCTCTGTGAAGGTGGACACAAGACATTACAGATGCACCGACTGTGAAAGCACATAGGGTTGGAGATCTGGCTGAGGGAATTTTCTACTAATCTGTAATTTAGGTGATATATTTAGAATATACTGAGGTATTTATGACATCAAAAGTATTTCCGATAAACGTGAGATACGCACAAATCTTCATATGAGTGTTGGGATGATAACTTATGCTGACTGGCTTTCTGTCAGATCGGCACAAACTTACACTGATGCTACGGCAGCTGTATCCTCAAGAAAGCTTTTCCTGGCGTGGCATTCAACGTGCTTGACTGTAATGTTATCTCCAAAATTATCGATGGCAAGGACTGAATAAAGAAATGGAAACACAACGCAGAAGTGACTAAAGCAGTTATCAATGTTTTAACATGTATAGAAATATCAACATTAGGTGCCCCGCCGACTGGCGTGGGCGATCATGCCTCTCCACAATTCATGATCTCCTGAAGTACGTATCAGTTCGTGTGCTGACACACCTCCATGCCATGCAACAAGACTGTCTAGAATCTTCTCTCGTTGTCTTCCTCTTTTCACAGATCTTACCAGCGGTCACAACATGCTCCATTTTCCCTCTTCTTATAACATGGCCTAAAAATGATGACTGTCTCCTTCTAAGTATAGACAGTCTAATAAACAAATTGGGATATTCAAAATGTTTTGACTATAAAACAAAGACAAGGCTGATTGATTTACTGGGCAAATAGAACAGGAAACTCCTGTATGGGTTCTGGATCCCCATTCTGGAGAAAGAGAGGGATAATAAGTAAGCTTAAAAACTACAAGAGTGAACCAAAGGATATGACGAGGCAAGCGGCTTGATTACTTCACCACTTCACCAAGGAGACTCCTGCCCCCCCCCCCCCCCCCCCAAATTAAAAGTTGGGGCAGGAGTGAAACCAACCTGCAGGTGGAAATCATCATCACCAATCAGCAGGTCCTTTACATAATTTCGCTCTTGTCACGCCACGCTCGAAGTCTCTCTTTCTCTGGCCATTTCTCCAGCCCTATGTGCTTTCATAGCCAAGGCATCTTCCATGTCTTGTATCCACATTCATGGAGGCTGCATCAGCTTCATTCTCCAGAAACTGAACCTTTCACCACCGTTCTCTCCAGGCCACCATGATATTTAACATGGCCAAAATACCCCAACCTGCGGGACAAGATGCTGTTTATGAGCCAGTTCTCCTGGATGCTCAGATCTTGTGGGATGTCTGTGTTTGTCTTCTTTTTGGTCCTGGGTTTTCCAAGCTGTTTTCTGAAGCATTTCAATTCCACGACTCACATCCATAAGTTGCCATGGCAAAAATGCATGATCTCAAAATGTTCACTTGTAACTTGCATGCAGGCATTGTGCCATAGGTTCTCTATGCTGTTTAGTCTCTGCATTGCTAAAATGAGTCTTTTTCTGGCTTTTTTATTAACAGATCATAATTAAGGTATTGCACTGTGATTTCTAGCGAGTTTCCGTGGTGTAGTGGATAGATGCTCACCTGCGGATCAGAAGGTCATGGGTTCGAGTCCTAATGGAACAGGACTTTCTTCAGAAACGACCTTAGCTCCCAGGTCGAACCAGCCTTAAGTGAGTACCAGGTGCAGTGCTGGGAAGTAAAAGCGGCTTGGGTGATGTTGACCATATCCCCCACCAAGTGCTGAGTGGTCTATAAAATATAGATCTAGCCCTTTATGCCTAAAGGCATGTAAAGGGGTTCTTTACTTTTTACATACTGTTATTTATGACTTCTCTCTGACATTTATTGAACAGGTAAGCCTTTCACACACACAAACATATTGATTTTGCCATTATTTCTCCCTCAATCAACTTACATGCATCCACCACACTGAAGATGTCTTCCTCAGAGCAGTTTTTAGGGATGCAAACATCGATGATAAAAGGGCTGTAAGGTACTGGGAACGGAAGATTCTGTTGACGTAATCAAACCTTACATCATTACTGCAAGTTATTTAATCTTATTACTGGATATGTAGCTTCACTGATAAAATTATGAAAATGAGAAGAGAGACATTGGAGAACATTGTGACAACTGGAAAGATCAGTGGAAAGAGTAGAGGCAGACCAAGAGAGATCATGCTGGATGGGCTAAAACGATGGCATGGAGGGATATCACCAAGAGAGCTGTATTCCAGGCAAACAGGGATCATGATCTGTGAAGACGCATGAGCACCTACGCCAGTTGGCAGGGCACACGATGATGATGAAATTACCGAAAATGTCAGATCAGCTAGCAGATAATTAGGAGCTGCTGCGGTGTGGTAGCTAGCCGCTCACCTGCAGACTGGAACATCAGGGGTTCGGGTTCTGAGGGAGCCAGACTATTTTCACAAGCAACCTTAGCTCCCAGGTCGACCCAGCCTTGATTGGGTAGCAGGTATAGTCCTGGGAAGTAAATGCGGCTTGCAAGATGTTGACCACATCACCCGCCGAGCACCTATTGGTCTATAAAATATAGGTCTAACCCTTTGTGCCCAATAAGCCTGAAGGCATGTGAAAGGGGTCCTTTACTTGTAAATAATTACTATTTCCATACTATTATGGAGTATTGCATCAACTGCTATGTTAGGGCACAATGATGACTGCAATAACTGCTTAGAGTGGACCTCAAAATAGCAGTGGATGCAATACTATATAACAATTCCTAAGTTAAGGACCTTTTTCCATGTCCTTGGGCATATTGGGTATGGTCCTAGACCTATATTATACAGATTGATGGGTGATCTGGTCAGCATCACGCTGGCCGCCTTTACTTCTCAGGACTCTACCTGTTACCCATTTCAGGTTCGGTCACCGTAGGAGCCAAGGTTATGGGGGATAATCTAGTTTGATGTGGATCTAAATCCTTTTGATCACACTATGGAAACTATTGATGATTTACAGCATAGTGTTGAACATTTGGCCACAAATGTAGTTTGATGCCATTACTGCCTCTGATACTAAAAACGCCTTTTATGCACGCCATGTGGCAGACTGGGTATATAATGCCTGCCATATATATTTAGAGGGACAGCCACCATAGCGTAGCGGCTAGAGGCTCGCTGCTGCTTCAAAGGTTGTGGGTTCAAATCAGCATCCAGCCTGAATTTGTTTCCCCTTTTTTCTGGCTGCAGGAGTCACTAGAAGAGATCAAATGAGTAATGAGGTCATAACAGAAAAAGTGGGCACAGGACAAATTCTAAATTATATACAAAGACAGCAAATCAAATAGTTTTCCAGCTTAGAGAGAATGCCTTGTGAAGCCATACATACAATGCATAGACACATCTATCTTCTTCTTCAGCGTTCCAAGCCCTCAGGTTCACTTCTGCAGATATCTCCATTCATCTCTCTGGTTGGTCTTCTCTTTCCAGTTGGTGACACCAAGTGTTTGCAGGTCTGTCTGGACATTATATCTCCATTGTCTTCTTGGTCTGCCTCGTGGTCTACGACCATTCATCTCCTTTGTGTATACACATACACACACCAAAAGCAAAGGATGAAGAGTACAAGGTAGACCAAGAACAAGATGGTAAGATAACATCAGAGAAACTCTACAAAAACAGGATGTGTATATGGTTGAGACATCAGCTCAACAAGAAGCACAATCTTATATCTTCCTCAACAATGTAGCAGTTAACAACAAAAACAAAACGGAAGTAAATAAGAAGTGTTGTTTGTGATGGACAGAGAGACAAACAGTTTGAACTCACAAAAGCCTCAATCATCTTTGGTCTCCAGGGTGCGTGTGTCATGTGAACGCTGCAGTATTGAGGCAAAGTTTCATTGTGGTCACTGCAGGCTGCACCTGTTGTCTCAGCACAAACTGTTGGGGCAGGAAGACTCAGGCACTCGTCGTAGTCGCCGGCCCAGGTGGTGGCTCCAATGAAGATCCCTGCTGGTTGTTTCCCAGTAGAATCATACACTGCAGTAAAATGACAGTCAAGTCTCGGTTACGATAACATTCATTCTTGAAAAAATACATCTTTCTCTCCTACTTCTTTTTCATCTGCATTTGCCTTCAAAGGGTAGGAATGGTGCACTGTGTTGAGGTTTGCAGCTAGGCTACGATACGTGCTGTCAAATACATCCAAATTCAGCAAACCCCTTATTATTTGCCTTTTATGACATGCTTGTTAGGGGGCAGTGGGTCTAACCTTTTTTTTATACCCCAAAACGGGGTTTTGGAACCCACACAAGAACAAAGCAGCCGATCACTAACTCATTATCCTAAGTATGACCTGGGATATGTCACTTTCTTCACTTCCACCAGCTGTAAAGTTCTAGTTATTCATCTACTTCTGGTTGTCAGTCTTCTTCCAGAATTTGAGTTTGGTGTACACATCCATTTTACAGATCTGGTTTATTTGTATGCAGACTTTTGGTTGCTTGTCTCTCAGGCAGATGCACTCTGACTTTTAAGGAAAAACCCAAATTTAGCCGACTTTATAATATGCCTGTTTGGGGACAGTGGGTGGGTGGGGGTGGGGGAAATTAGACAACCCCCCCCCCCCCCCCCATTTTAAAAGAAAAATGGAGCCCCGAAACCCACACAGGCTCTGGGTTATGTGAAAACTTATCAGTTTCCAGTAGCCCGGCTCGCTTCTCAGTTGGTTAAACCGGACTGCGCGGCAACCTGGTGACGAACTCCTTGTGGTCCGGGTTCACACCCAGGGGGTAGGCAGAAAAGCCACAGTTCTCCCAGATTTACAGTATTTTTCATGGAATCAAGGCTGAAGGGTTGCGATATCTATAGTACCGAGCCAAAGGATTAACAACTCATTGTTTCTGGAAACTTTTAAAAAAAAAGTCCCAGTCCCACTGCAGTATATGACATGGATTACATGTCTTGTTACACTGCCTGACACTGCTGTTGGGTTGGTTCTTATCTGCACAGGAAGGGCAGCAGTGAGCTGATTATTTTACTTTCTTATATTATGACCCAGAATATGTGAAAACTTTTAACAATTGGGTCTCAGAGCAGTATATTCTCTTCTTCTAAGCATTTTGGTCTTGATCCAGCAGAGTTTTGTGTCCACATACTTTTTACAGATCTGGCTTATTTGTATGCACATTGTCGGTTCCTTGACTCACAGGACATGCTTGTTAAAGAGACAGTGGGTCTATTCTTTGTTTTCCACAAACGAGCCTTAGAACCAGCACATGATACTGTATTAAATGTTCTGTTACTCTCTAGCAAATACTGTTGCTGAGTCACCTATTTAGGAAAGGTAGCAAACAGCTGATTACTACCTTCTTATACTGTGACCTAGAATTTGGGAACACTTATTTCCCAGTCCCACACCAGTTTATGCCATGGGATGACATGTTTTGTCACTGTGTCTCTCTGACAGGTACAGATAAAACAGCTACTGTAAAGGAGTGGATACGACACAATGCTTCTCTGAAGTATTCTCCAAACAGTTGTTTGATAATAATGTAACAGGCTGGCAGGGTAGGTTGTTAGTCTGTTAATAATTTTGGTTTGGCTACACTTGCGAACTCAAACTGGCAAATGTCCTCTTTAGTCTGCGACGATGTCCCCAGAAATACGTAGTCCTACTATCGGTTGTGGAACCATACCAGGTTCTAGCATAACGTAGGTTCAGGAGGACTGAATGCATGGGAGTGGCCAATGTGCAGTGACATTGATTGTGATACCATAACATAATTATTATTTCAGTCATTCTCCTGTCTACCAATGCATCCTGTCCACACAGTTATTATATTAAGCTTTTTGCCCCAGTAACACTAGAATACAGTTTTCAAATAACTGTGTGCACAGAAGAAGGTTTAACAAAGAGTGTAAGTAAGAATGAATTGAACCAACAACCGGGACAAAGATTAAAATTACTGTGTGGGAGACAAATGGTTAACTCTCCAACTCTAATGATACCCAGCTTTTTGTCCAAAATAACACTACAATGCAGTTTTCAAATAACTGTGTGGACAGAAGAAGGTTTACCAAAGAGTGTAAGTAAGAATGAGTTAAATCAACAGAGAGGACATAGATTAAAATAACCAGTCTGGAGAGATTGATGCAGTGGGGAGTGACGAGAGGTTCTGGCAGATGCTCTAGGCTCAGAGGAAAGGCAAGATGGACGTCTAATCAGAATGCAACTGGCACCATAATCATTGGAACTCTTCACTGGCTGCTGAAGATGGGGATGGAGTGCTTATGGGAATGCCGCGCATGCTGTGATGTCGCTTCTTGAATCAAATCAACTCAGATTAAAGTAACTGTGTGGGAGACAAATGGTTAACTCTCTAACTCTAATGATACCCACTTTTCCAGGCCCATGCTTTCTTGTTCACCAGTCCACTGTAGTAGAGCTGAAGGTCGCTCCGACACTGGCTGGACACGCTATAGTTGGATATAAACTCTGGATTTGCCCCCGCATTAATGAAGGCCCTGTCGGACAGAGGTGGGAATAACAATAACAACTGTTGAGCTAAACTAATTATTTTAATCTGCTTCCTCTTCACATTCACCAGCTATAAATTTTGCATACACATCTGTTCTACAGATCTGGCTTATTTGTGAGCAGACTGTTGGTTCCTCGCCTCTCAGGCAAATGCCCTCTGACTTTGAAGGAAACTCCCCTAATTAGTCGACTTCTCCAACATGCTTGTTGGGTAGCAGTGAGTCTAATTTGTTTCTTCCCTTAAGAAGACCATGGAACCCACATAGGGAGTTATCGTAATCAAATTTCTTCTTCTTATTTTCTCTACCCAACAGTGTCAAGGCAGAAAGAGATCTCAGGAACAGGTCCTTCTGTTCACTTTGTGTGTAGTACTTTTGAGTGTCTCTGATATTTTGGGGATCCATCTTCTGTGCAGTCAACATCAGACTGTTACCAAAATATCTGTATAACATTGTTCTCTGTGGTGTCCTGTCTATTGCCTTTCTTGTTACATGGCCAAACCATTTGATCTGCTGTCGATCAATACAAGTTCAGTATTATTTCTATGCCAGCTCTTCTCCTGACATCACCGTCCCTAGGTTGATCTTTGCATTACACCCAGCATAATTCGTAAACATTTCATTTTTATTATGTCTATTGAAGACAGTGTCCAAGTTTGATACTGAAAGCATATTGTTCATGAGAATACTGTGTCGAACAGTGCTCTTTTCGTTTTCATATTCAAATTTATTTTGTCATTTAAGTATTTTTGTTCTCTCTCACAGCTGTGGAAAAGGTTCATAATCCTTAACAGAGGAGATTCAAGTCAGTTGTGGGTAATCTGGCAGCATGCCACTTGATAGAAGATTACAAAGGGATACACATTATTACAAGTGGAGCTATACAAGTAGATGGATATAAAACAGATCCACATATTACAGATAATCACTGTGAAGGTGTGGATAACATTGTAGAGGTGTGGA